TGACAAGTTGATTTACCAACCTTTAAAGTAGATTTACAAAATTTAATATGTACAGATTCAATGGTAAAACAATACGCATCTTCCTGATGTGTCCCTTCTATGCCTCTCCTATTGACCAATCAGATTCCGTCCCTTGTATCATTTGCATTTGCTTCACACAAAATGGCGGTGCCCAGTCAAGACGATCTGATCAATAATCAAGGTCTATATTGTGATAAAACGGGTCTTACATCGCAAAGGGCATTAAATCACGTGAGCACCTTGATTAAAACCATGAAAAGATTTGGAAAATATATGTTGACATCCAGTTGACGGTACACATGTTTTGCAAATCCTGCAATCGACCGAAATCTGCACGACAGTTTACGAACCGGATTTCGATTTCATTACGCGATTTTGATTGGACTATGCATAGACTCGTTAGTCCAGCCAAAATATAACTCCATAATACCAGCCTAGTTCGGCAAGGGTGAAAACTGGTCTTTTAAAGTCAGTTAACTCCCTTGTCCCGGGAAGATGTGCAATACGTGGTCCCCAATATTTCTGAATCATAACATAGAATACAACTATCTCAAATAGGTCTAGACAACTGTTGTTACCAAGTTTTATTAGTTGTTTAGCGCCGCACTCAGCAATATTCAAGCTATATGACGGCGGTCTGTAAATAATCGAGTCTGGACCAGACAATCCAGTGATTGATATCATGAGCATCGATCCCCACAATTGGGATACGATGACATGCTTCAACCAAGTCAGCGAGAGTCTGACCACCCGGTCCCGTTAGTCACCGTTTACGACAAACATAGTCGCCCTTTAAGAGATATTAATGACCATGAATATTTTTGGGAGAAAAAGAAAGGTCTCTATTGTTTGTTTGCAAGACATTCACATTTCAAGAATGGATGTTACTCTTATGAGGAATGAATGGGGCCAACACAGCATAATATAACCATATAAATCCGATGCTAGGGGTGTTGCCATAATATTTAATAATAATGTAGACATTACAATTCACAGCACAAATATAGATGAAAATGGCAATTATTTAATAGCTGATATAACTGCAGAAGATACAAGACTAACATTTAATAATTTCTGTGGACCTAAAAGTGACAACCTCGAAAATGATTCATTACTTATTGTGAGTGTCTGGAGCCTTAATCTTAATCCTGCAGTTGATTTAGAAAATTATAAAAATATAAATAACCCTAAGGCAAGACGCGTAGCATTGAAAAAAATTATAATGGTTAAGTATGATGGATATATGGAGAGAACTAAATAAAGACTTTAAGAAATTTACATGGTTGGAACAAACCCACGACAGCAAGCTGGGCGTGGCTTCTTTTTCGTGCCTGAAGATATAAGAATATGACATTGGAAACAAATATTTTACCCGGATATAAAAGCGATCACTAATTCATTACATTACCTTTCTCTAATACAATTAATAAGAAATTAAATGATTCACTCCTATTAAATAAAGATTATACAGATTTGTTTAAGACAGTTATAGAAGAAAATATATAAGCATATTCTGAGAATAGTGATAGTGAACAAAGTGTGTTAGACTTCAAACTAAAAATAATTGACAGTGTATTTCTTGAAACCCTCTTAATAAATGTTAGAGGGAAAACAATTTCATTATTTTCATTCATTAATAGAACCAAGATCAATCAAATAAAGAATTAGAAATTAAGATAAACGGTTTAGAAGTTGTCGTAAGGCGAAATTTTCAACAAATAGATGAAAAACATTCCTCAGAATTATCAAAATACAAATTAGAAATGGAAAAATATCAAAGAAGAGGAAATTAGAGTAATACAAATTAGAAATTAAAAAGCAACGGTATGAGGAAGGAGGCAAGCCAACAAGTTATTTCTGTCTCTTAGAAACTAGACATTATGAGACATGTATTGCTATTAAAAAGGATGACAAAAACAACTTTAAAAAAGGTCACTTTTATTCTCAGCATTTGATTCCTAGCTCCGTCAAGATCCGGTGTAGAATAGGTCTTCAGCAACCAATGCTTGTGGTGACTATACTAGTCGTAGGAGACGACTAGCGGGATCGGGTGGTCAGGCTCTCTGACTTGGTTGAAGCATGTACATCGTATCCCAATTTCGTGGATCGATGCTCATGATATCAATCACTGGATTGTCAGGTCCAGACTTGATTATTTACAGACCGCAGTCATATAGCTAAAATTTTGCTCAGTCAGCGTAAAACAACAAACCAAATGGTTCTTAGCTCTTCGTTGATGCATGCTGTGTTTGAGTCTGATTGTGTGTTGCAACTTCTTTTGTTTGAAATGTGTCAATGTTTATTTCCAAACCTTCAAATTTGACAAGCAACATCTTCCCACTGCGCACTTCATTCAATCTCATACCATAAACCATCACTCAAAGCAAGTGCACCTGTGGAAAACAGTGTTGTTGGTAAGGGAAATACTACGTTGATCCAGGAGTTGAACAAGCATATGCGCAGGACGGAATATTTCATGAACTTTTACACCAAGTTACCATTCTGACATGAAAGAACCCTATCTTCAGAAACGTGCAAGTGGGAAGCATGGCAAAAATAAGTCTCCCTAACAACATGTATGAGATATGAGAAAGAAAGTCGAAGTCCCCCTCCACAGAATGGCAAAGGGTACATTTAGATAGTGTCTTTGTGGGAATTCCTCATGCATAGTACATGTTGCCCTTAATGAATGTGTGACGATAATGATTTATAAACACAAACATGCGTCAGTCGGTCGCTGAAAGGGAGGTTCTTCCATACATTGAATGTATAATTCATCCTGTGAGACCATGTGAATTACCGCATCATCAATCAACTGATTACAATTCCCATATGCAAGCAGCATAAAACTATACCGAATTGTCACACTGAATTCGGAAAGGTTTCAAATCTGTTTCAGTATACGCTTGACTATGTCAAATGCAAATGTCTTTTATACTCGTGTTAAACGAGTGCAGTTGAGTTGGTTTTGCTGAATCATTGATTACAAGCATCGTCAGCTGGCATGGTAACATGCGTAAAAGACCATATCACACTTGTTTACTTCAGTGAACGTGGGAATTGATTTTCAATTAATAACGCAGATATTCATTAACCACTCTAGATCTGTCACTACGGCGACGTTTAACAATGAACAAACTTGTTCAACCAACGTTTGTCCCACTGGATGGCTGCCATTAATGCCAACTTCCGCAGCGATTTGAATGGTGTAAGATGTCTGATGGTGTTGTTGGTGTATTAAGATGACTATACTGTATTAACTGCACGCCTTTTCAAGCATAATCGACCTTTGATGTGGTTTAAACAATATTTATTTAAAAATAAGGAGAATTTACATGTAAGAGAAATTTGTCACAGAATACATTGAAATAACTGCAATATATTAAAATGGCCTAGAATTTCCAGACAACACAGTCTTGATATTAAAACCCTTGAAATATACAGACATTGAAACATTGTATGGCGCTGACAAACCAGGTGGCCCAGTCGTCTTAGGCGCCGCGATTCGCTGTGCAGAATTGCGTCCCTTTGGCGCGCCAGAAACCTATGATTATAGGTTCGAATCACGGTTCGCTCCGAACAAGTTTCTAGGTTTGTCAACACCATACTCGTGCTCGTGGGTTTCACCAAAGTGGTAAACGTCTGACGCCTGCATCACTTCGGTCTTTCCTTCCACATTAAGCCGACACGCCGTGATATAACTGGAATGCTGTTAAACCCAACTCACTGGAGTTGGAAATCTGGAAACTGGATTGGGGTTTCTGACCGTGGTGAAGCTGGTCTTTCATCCTGGCAATTCTGTTGTCATGCTTGTGGTAGACACGCTTGCGGCTTGTGGTGCGACTCCAAAGTCGAGCTGGAGGAATGTACTTCTTTCTGCTAGGTTGAAGCAAATGGTCAATTCAACCTCTGCTGCACTTCGGCCTTCACAGTCTGGCGTGGGTGCAGGTCTGTCTTTCTCGATTTCGGGTGTATAGATGTCCATCTCGAAGAACCTGTGATGTGCCTCTCTGCGACATGACGTATTCCACTTTCCTTAACCCAGCCCTTCTGATAATGCTACCATGGCCATGCATACATCAGTATGCAAGTATTAAAATATGGAAAAGAATGATTTAACAACAAGTTTTTATGCATGTGAATTACTACCTCCTCTGCGTGGTAAAGATATTGAATTAGCTGAAAGCACCCAGCGTTACATTGTCAGAATTGTACAGGGTTTTGACAAACGTTCTCCCACTGATGCCACTATTGCTATTCTAGGACTTTGGAACATGGTTGGCTATATAGATAAATGCAGACTACAGTATTTGAAGAGATTCTACAGAACTTGTGGTACCTCTGTTACACGTGTATTTGTCATTGAAAGTGTAAAGTTAATTTTGAATAACAAGTTAAATTTTGAGGGGAACATTATAGAAAAAAGGGTAAGAATATGGACTAAAGGGGCACCACTTACGCTACGATAGTTTGGGACATTTGGAACGAATCTGGAAACCAAAGGGAGAAAACAGTTTAGACCTGAAGTCGCTGAACTCTCAAAGACAAATTAGCGACGTTACCCCTTTGAAGGAGTTATGTTTATGCCTTACAGGCGCTAGACAACATGTTTGGAGACCGCGTGGAGAAAGGTTATATCCTACAGCAGTCCGAGAGCACGACATGTACGGTGGTGACAGCCTCATGGTCTGGACTGCCATCACATATGACAAGAGGACGGATCTGATGAGCGAGCAAGGGTTGTTGGTTTGTTGTTTAACGCCGCACTCAGCAATATAATTAACTATGTGACGGCGGTCTGTAAATAATCGATTCTGGACCAGACAAACCAGTGATTGACACCATGAGCATCGATCCACGCAATTGGGATAGGATCGCATGCACCAATCAAGTCACCGAGCCTGATCACCCGATCCCGTTAGTCCCCTCTTTCGACAAGCATAGTTGCCTTTTACGGCAAGCATTGGTTGCTGAAGACCTATTCTACCCCGGATCTTCAAGGGTCTCGGGCAAGGGAATATGACCTGTCAACGGTATGTGGACCAAATATTACATCCAGTGGTAATCCCATTTGTCCAGAGCGCAGGTCAGAACTTTGAGTTCCAGGACGACAACGAACGTTCTCAACGAGTTCATGTTGCAGTCGACTGTCTGGGGCAGCAAGGTGTCACAACATTGTCCTGGCCAGCCAAATCCCCAGACATGTCACTGATTTAACACCTTCGGGTTGTCCTGGACTGAAGGGTTCGCGACCGACCTCAGCGTTCCCAAATTTTCAAACAGTTTGAAGGCCTCACAAGAAATATGGCGGAGGATACCACGGGACAAAAAAATCTTGTTTTTGATTTCCAATGTGTCCAGAGGATGTCGGGCCGGGCATGCACCAGATACGGACTTCACTGTGAAGACTGAATACAATCATTTATTTACATATCATTTCTGGACTAATGATGGGGTCCTTAATATTGTTCCAATTATAGATGACAAAATACAAGATTCAAAAGCCTTTTTAGATAACTGTCCCAATTTGTTGTTTTCAGTGTTTATATGCCGAGACGTAGATTAGGTCTATATATTTCGTTGGAATTTCACACATTATAAATAATGTATAAGCTCTAGATTTCCATCTTGCCAAGAAATAGATATTTCAGTGTAAAATAAAAACTACCATAACATAATTGTAACAACAGCAACAACAACCGTAAATGTATTCACTGGTTATATTACTTTATATCTCTTACGTAAGACCTTAAAAGGACGGCTGTAGGGCAATGCAATTGTATTACTTATTAACGGTACCACTAAAGATTTACAACCTGATATGTATAATAATACATGAGAAATATCTACCAGCGCTTGATAATCGCGATACGGCCTGAAGATCAAAGAATATTTTCAATAAGTTTCCATAAATATACGAGATAACATGTATCAAATCAATTATGATAAAAGTATGTGATTAAACAGCTAGGGAATATATTTACGGGTCACCAGTTCTCTTACAATTAACGTACAGACGCAAGAGTATGGCGACGCCGGGCAATTAGTGAGTGAGTGAGTGAGTTTGGTTTTACGCCGCTTTTAGCAATATTCCAGCAATATCACGGGGGGGGACACCAGAAATGGGCTTCACACATTGTACCCATGTCGGGAATCGAACCCGGGTCTTCAGCGTGACGAGCGAACGCTTTAACCACGAGGCTACCCGACCGCCCCTCCGGGCAATTAAGGGAGAGGGTACCGTAGTGTTCACTAGACCGTGATGGATAGGTTTTACGCCCTAGGTGGCAACGTCTATAAACCGTCTATTGGCATACACTTGACTGTTTATGTAACGCCTATACACCTCATATTGTCATACACGTGACCGTCCGTATGACGTCTTTAAGTCCTCTACTGTCATACGCTTGAGCGTCCACATGACGTTTATAAACCATCTACCTGTCTGAAAGGCGACTTATTATGGCCAGACATACGCAGTGCGGTACAGTAGCTCAGTTGATTTAGTTAATGCCTGGTTCGATTTCTAATATTGATACTGCTCGTGAAGCTAATATGTCCTCCGCTGTGATGTCCAAGGTCGTAAAACCATATTCATTCACTCACTCAACAGAAAGGAACGCTACATTCCTCCCAACGTTCGCTGGGGTCCACCGTATAACACCACGGCATTGTGTGATTGTCCATCCGACAGTAGTTGCTCTCGTCAACTAGGGCCGGGTCTCCGCGTGACAGCCCACGGGCAAAATGGGAACGCTTGTGTGGGATGTCAGTGTCCCATCTCTGACATGTCCGGCCAGTTTTGGTAATGTTCAGGGTTCCGAGATAGAGCGTCGAACTTGTGAAGCATAACTCATCTGAAAAACAACAACAGAGCAAGTTAATCATCGTGCCATAACAAAAATACGCCTTATCTGTCTTAAATAATAAGTCTGACCACCTGACCTCATAAACCGGCTGTTATGCCACACACAGGACACTGTGGTCCCACCTTATATCCCTGAAACACACATCCCTACAACGTGGAACATTGGTACTGGTCAGTGTGGTCAGAGACTGCCACCAGGATCACCATCGTCTCACAAGCTGACCCTTCGTAACTGACCACCATGATCACCATCGGCACACAAGCTGACCCTTCGTAACTGACCACCAGGATCACCATCGGCATACAACCTGACCCTTCGTAACTGACCACCAGGATCACCATCGGCATACAAGCTGACCCTTCGTTACTGACCACCAGGATAACCATCGGCACACAAGCTGACCCTTCGTAACTGACCACCAGGATCACCATCGGCACACAAGCTGACCCTTCGTAACTGACCACCAGGATCACCATCGGCATACAAGCTGACCCTTCGTTACTGACCACCAGGATTACCATCGGCACACAAGCTGACCCATCGAAACTGACCACCAGGATCACCATCGGCATACAAGCTGACCCTTCGTAACTGACCACCAGGATCACCATCGGCATACAAACTGACCCTTCGTAACTGACCACCAGGATCACCATCGGCATACAAGCTGACCCTTCGTTACTGACCACCAGGATCACCATCGGCACACAAGCTGACCCTTCGTAACTGACCACCAGGATCACCATCGGCACACAAGCTGACCCTTCGTAACTGACCACCAGGATCACCATCGGCACACAAGCTGACCCTTCGTAACTGACCACCAGGATCACCATCGGCACACAAGCTGACCCATCGAAACTGACCACCAGGATCACCATCGGCACACAAGCTGACCCTTCGTAACTGACCACCAGGATCACCATCGGCTCACAAGCTGACCCTTCGTAACTGACCACCTGGGAGAAGGGCGATTCCAGATGCTACTTTTATTGAGTGTGTGCGTCCCATTCCAAACATGACACAGGCTTGGAGTACAGAGGCTACACTAAACTGCCCGACTTGAATTTCTGAATTATAAATTCTAATTATTTTATCATGTTCCCAATAAATAGAAGTAATGATATTAGTGCAAACATGTTATACACGTGATGAATTTGGACATGTTAGTGAAACCATGTTATATACGTGATGGATTTGGACATGTTAATGAAACCATGTTATATACGTGATGAATTTGGACATGTTAGTGAAACCATGTTATCCACGTGATGAATTTGGACATGTTAGTGAAACCATGTTATCCACGTGATGAATTTGGACATGTAAGTGATTGTATGTTATGTACGTGATGAATGTGGACATGTTAGTGAAAACGTCAAATATGTAATGAAGGTGGACATGTAAGTGATAGAATGTTACATATGTGATAGATGTGGACATGTAAGTGATAGCATGTTATATACGCGATGAATGTGCACATGTCAGTGATAGCATGTTATATACGTGATGAATGTGGACATGGTAGTGATAGCATGTTATAGACGTAATGAATGTGGACATGTTAGTGAAAACATTTCAAATACGTGATGCATTTGGAGATGTAAGTGATCGCATGTTAAATACGTAATGCATGTGGACATGTAAGTGACTGTATGTTATATACGTGATGTTTGTGGACATGTAAGTGAAACCATGTTATATATGTGATGAATGTGGACATGTAAGTGAGTGTATGTTATATACGTGATGAATGTGGACATGTTTGTGATTGTATGTTATATACGTGATGAATGTGGACATGTAAGTGATAGCATGTTATATACGTGATGAATGTTGACATGTAAGTGATAGAATGTTATAGACGTGATGAATGTGGATATGTTAGTGATTGTATGTTATAGACGTGATGAACGTGCACATGTAAGTGATAGAATGGTATAGACGTGATGAATGTGGACATGTAAGTGATAGCATGTTATATACGTGATGAATGTTGACATGTAAGTAAAAGAATGTTATAGACGTGATGAATGTGCACATGTAAGTGATAGAATGGTATAGACGTGATGAATGTGGACATGTAAGTGATAGAATGGTATAGACGTGATGAATGTGCACATGTAAGTAAAAGAATGGTATAGACGTGATGAATGTGCACATGTAAGTGATAGAATGGTATAGACGTGATGAATGTGCACATGTAAGTGATAGAATGTTACAGACGTGATGAATGTGCACATGTAAGTAAAAGAATGGTATAGACGTGATGAATGTGCACATGTAAGTGATAGAATGTTATAGACGTGATGAATGTTGACATGTAAGTGATAGAATGGTATAGACGTGATGAATGTTGACATGTAAGTGATAGAATGTTATAGACGTGATGAATGTGGATATGTTAGTGATAGAATGTTATAGACGTGATGAATGTGCACATGTAAGTGATAGAATGGTATAGACGTGATGAATGTGCACATGTAAGTCATATAATGGTATAGACGTGATGAATGTGCACATGTAAGTGATAGAATGTTATAGACGTGATTAATGTTGACATGTAAGTGATAGAATGTTATAGACGTGATGAATGTGGATATTTGTTAGTGATAGAATGTTACAGACGTGATGAATGTGCACATGTAAGTAATAGAATGTTATAGACGTGATGAATGTGGATATGTTAGTGATAGAATGTTACAGACGTGATGAATGTGCACAAGTAAGTGATAGAATGGTATAGACGTGATGAATGTGGACATGTAAGTGATAGCATGTTATATACGTGATGAATGTGCACATGTAAGTGATAGAATGTTATAGACGTGATGAATGTGGATATGTTAGTGATAGAATGTTACAGACGTGATGAATGTGCACAAGTAAGTGATAGAATGGTATAGACGTGATGAATGTGGACATGTAAGTGATAGCATGTTATATACGTGATGAATGTTGACATGTAAGTGATAGAATGTTATAGACGTGATGAATGTGGATATGTTAGTGATTGTATGTTATAGACGTGATGAACGTGCACATGTAAGTGATAGAATGGTATAGACGTGATGAATGTGGACATGTAAGTGATAGAATGGTATAGACGTGATGAATGTTGACATGTAAGTGATAGAATGTTATAGACGTGATGAATGTGGATATGTTAGTGATTGTATGTTATAGACGTGATGAACGTGCACATGTAAGTGATAGAATGGTATAGACGTGATGAATGTGCACATGTAAGTTATAGAATGGTATAGACGTGATGAATGTGCACATGTAAGTGATAGAATGGTATAGACGTGATGAATGTGCACATGTAAGTGATAGAATGGTATAGACGTGATGAATGTGCACATGTAAGTGATAGAATGGTATAGACGTGATGAATGTGGATATGTTAGTGATAGAATGTTACAGACGTGATGAATGTGCACATGTAAGTGATAGAATGGTATAGACGTGATGAATGTTGACATGTAAGTGATAGAATGTTATATACGTGATGAATGTTGACATGTAAGTGATAGAATGTTATAGACGTGATGAATGTGGATATGTTAGTGATAGAATGTTACAGACGTGATGAATGTGCACAAGTAAGTGATAGAATGGTATAGACGTGATGAATGTGGACATGTAAGTGATAGCATGTTATATACGTGATGAATGTTGACATGTAAGTGATAGAATGTTATAGACGTGATGAATGTGGATATGTTAGTGATTGTATGTTATAGACGTGATGAACGTGCACATGTAAGTGATAGAATGGTATAGACGTGATGAATGTGCACATGTAAGTGATAGAATGTTACAGACGTGATGAATGTGCACATGTAAGTAAAAGAATGGTATAGACGTGATGAATGTGCACATGTAAGTGATAGAATGGTATAGACGTGATGAATGTGGACATGTAAGTGATAGCATGTTATATACGTGATGAATGTTGACATGTAAGTGATAGAATGTTATAGACGTGATGAATGTGGATATGTTAGTGATTGTATGTTATAGACGTGATGAACGTGCACATGTAAGTGATAGAATGGTATAGACGTGATGAATGTGCACATGTAAGTGATAGAATGTTACAGACGTGATGAATGTGCACATGTAAGTAAAAGAATGGTATAGACGTGATGAATGTTGACATGTAAGTGATAGAATGGTATAGACGTGATGAATGTTGACATGTAAGTGATAGAATGTTATAGACGTGATGAATGTGGATATGTTAGTGATAGAATGTTATAGACGTGATGAATGTGCACATGTAAGTGATAGAATGGTATAGACGTGATGAATGTGCACATGTAAGTCATAGAATGGTATAGACGTGATGAATGTGCACATGTAAGTGATAGAATGGTATAGACGTGATGAATGTTGACATGTAAGTGATAGAATGTTATAGACGTGATGAATGTGGATATGTTAGTGATAGAATGTTACAGACGTGATGAATGTGCACATGTAAGTGATAGAATGGTATAGACGTGATGAATGTGCACATGTAAGTTATAGAATGGTATAGACGTGATGAATGTTGACATGTAAGTGATAGAATGTTATAGACGTGATGAATGTGGATATGTTAGTGATAGAATGTTACAGACGTGATGAATGTGCACATGTAAGTGATAGAATGGTATAGACGTGATGAATGTGCACATGTAAGTGATAGAATGGTATAGACGTGATGAATGTTGACATGTAAGTGATAGAATGTTATAGACGTGATGAATGTGGATATTTGTTAGTGATAGAATGTTACAGACGTGATGAATGTGCACATGTAAGTGATAGAATGGTATAGACGTGATGAATGTGGACATGTAAGTGATAGCATGTTATATACGTGATGAATGTTGACATGTAAGTGATAGAATGTTATAGACGTGATGAATGTGGATATGTTACTGATAGAATGTTACAGACGTGATGAATGTGCACAAGTAAGTGATAGAATGGTATAGACGTGATGAATGTGGACATGTAAGTGATAGCATGTTATATACGTGATGAATGTTGACATGTAAGTGATAGAATGTTATAGACGTGATGAATGTGGATATGTTAGTGATTGTATGTTATAGACGTGATGAACGTGCACATGTAAGTGATAGAATGGTATAGACGTGATGAATGTTGACATGTAAGTGATAGAATGGTATAGACGTGATGAATGTTGACATGTAAGTGATAGAATGTTATAGACGTGATGAATGTGGATATGTTAGTGATTGTATGTTATAGACGTGATGAACGTGCACATGTAAGTGATAGAATGGTATAGACGTGATGAATGTTGACATGTAAGTGATAGAATGGTATAGACGTGATGAATGTTGACATGTAAGTGATAGAATGTTATAGACGTGATGAATGTGGATATGTTAGTGATAGAATGTTATAGGCGTGATGAATGTGCACATGTAAGTGATAGAATGGTATAGACGTGATGAATGTGCAGATGTAAGTGATAGAATGGTATAGACGTGATGAATGTGCACATGTAAGTGATAGAATGGTATAGACGTGATGAATGTTGACATGTAAGTGATAGAATGTTATAGACGTGATGAATGTGGATATGTTAGTGATAGAATGTTACAGACGTGATGAATGTGCACATGTAAGTGATAGAATGGTATAGACGTGATAAATGTTGACATGTAAGTGATAGCATGTTATATACGTGATGAATGTTGACATGTAAGTGATAGAATGTTATAGACGTGATGAATGTGGATATGTTAGTGATAGAATGTTACAGACGTGATGAATGTGCACAAGTAAGTGATAGAATGGTATAGACGTGATGAATGTGGACATGTAAGTGATAGCATGTTATATACGTGATGAATGTTGACATGTAAGTGATAGAATGTTATAGACGTGATGAATGTGGATATGTTAGTGATTGTATGTTATAGACGTGATGAACGTGCACATGTAAGTGATAGAATGGTATAGACGTGATGAATGTGCACATGTAAGTGATAGAATGTTACAGACGTGATGAATGTGCACATGTAAGTAAAAGAATGGTATAGACGTGATGAATGTGCACATGTAAGTGATAGAATGGTATAGACGTGATGAATGTGGACATGTAAGTGATAGCATGTTATATACGTGATGAATGTTGACATGTAAGTGATAGAATGTTATAGACGTGATGAATGTGGATATGTTAGTGATTGTATGTTATAGACGTGATGAACGTGCACATGTAAGTGATAGAATGGTATAGACGTGATGAATGTGCACATGTAAGTGATAGAATGTTACAGACGTGATGAATGTGCACATGTAAGTAAAAGAATGGTATAGACGTGATGAATGTGCACATGTAAGTGATAGAATGGTATAGACGTGATGAATGTGGACATGTAAGTGATAGAATGGTATAGACGTGATGAATGTTGACATGTAAGTGATAGAATGTTATAGACGTGATGAATGTGGATATGTTAGTGATAGAATGTTATAGACGTGATGAATGTGCACATGTAAGTGATAGAATGGTATAGACGTGATGAATGTGCACATGTAAGTCATAGAATGGTATAGACGTGATGAATGTGCACATGTAAGTGATAGAATGGTATAGACGTGATGAATGTTGACATGTAAGTGATAGAATGTTATAGACGTGATGAATGTGGATATTTGTTAGTGATAGAATGTTACAGACGTGATGAATGTTCACATGTAAGTGATAGAATGGTATAGACGTGATGAATGTGGACATATAAGTGATAGCATGTTATATACGTGATGAATGTTGACATGTAAGTGATAGAATGTTATAGACGTGATGAATGTGGATATGTTAGTGATAGAATGTTACAGACGTGATGAATGTGCACAAGTAAGTGATAGAATGGTATAGACGTGATGAATGTGGACATGTAAGTGATAGCATGTTATATACGTGATGAATGTTGACATGTAAGTGATAGAATGTTATAGACGTGATGAATGTGGATATGTTAGTGACAACAGTTTGTATACATGATGAATGTAAACATGATAGTGATGGTGAACTATATGCGTGATTAATTGTTTGCATGTTGGCATGGTCTGTTTAAACAGGACAAGGTACCTTGTTGACATTCATAGCTCCCGCCACTGTCTGTACATGTTTCGTTCACACAACAGTCCCTGCACCTTACTGATATCGTGTTACACAGGTGATGGGGGGCACGGGTGGCCCAGTCGTCTAAGGCGCCCCTTGGGCATGCCAGAAACCTATGATTGTGGGTTCGAATCCCGGTTCGCCCCGATTATGTTTCTAGGTCTGTCAGCTCCATCCCCGTGCTCGTGGGTTTCACCAAAGTGGTAAACATCTGAGACATGCATCATTTCGAGCTTTCCTCCCACATTAAGCTGACACGCCGCGATATAACTAGAATACTGTTAAAAGCGGCGTTACACCCAACTGCATAGGTGATGAATGTGGACTTATTTGTGATAGCTTGTTATATACGTGGATGTGTTGTTTTTTATGTGCTCGATTGATTGTGGGCATGTTGGCATCTGTCATGATCTGTTTCAACAGGAGGACAGGTTACCTTGTTCACATTCATAGCTCCCACCCTTGTCTCTGCACGTGTCGTTCACACCACACGGCCTGGGCCCACAAATACCGGCAAGTCGCTGAAAAGAAGAGCAACAACATTCACAGACTTTGTCATACCCTGCTCGTTGTGGTTTCGGGGCCGTTGATAGAAATCAAATGTGTTCTTCTAAACCACGTCAACCACCATGCCAACCAAGTGCTGACGGCGAAAAGTGCGTGAATCAGTCGCGAAAAAAGCTGATTTGAACTATGTGTTTCAGTTGTATGACAGCGCCTCAGCTTAATGTGGGAGGAAAGTTTTTTGTGTTTTTTTAAAACGTTTTTTATTGTTACCAGAGTTGTAATTTAAAACAGTATTCCGTCAAAGACATATTTCGGATTGCATAGAATGGCACAATACACTCTTAAAAAAATTAAAGGGTTGGAAACAAACATTGTCCTATTTCAAACCAAAACGGTTGCAACACACAATCAGACTCAAACGTATCATGTATCAACAGCGAGCTATGAATCAAATGCTGAGAATAAAGGTGGCCATTTTTTGTTAAAGTTATTTTTGTCATCCTTTCTTATAGCAATAAATTTCTCGATTGAATATATGTTTTTAAATGGTTTTAAAAGTATATCTAATTTCGGTTTGGTTTCTTTTATTCCACTTACATGAATATGCCTTTTTCCCAATGAAACTATATGATTGGTTAAAGTATTAGAGTAGTTAGAACCAAACCAAATAAGATTTTATAAGATAGTGAAAAATTGATTGCCATTTATCACAAACTTTAAGATTATTTTCATTTGATATTAATTTATCATAAAAGATTCTAGCGCCTTTTACAGGCTTCATCAGATCACTTAAGCAACTGTTTATATACAAATTCTGTAAAATTATTTTTCTACTTTTCTTGATTGTTGTTTTCCATGATTCTGGTATATTGAAGATTACATATCTATAGTCTAATATTGTACCTTTTATCGGATATTTTAGTTTCAGTTCTTCAAATGATATCAGTCCGTTTTCATTACATATATCTTTAATTGAGTAAATTCCACTATTAACCCATTGCTTTATGTAGTATGTTACTTGTTTGAAGTTGTGGTTAAGCCATAATGGTTGGGACAAAATTTCTTCTATATTATCAACGTTAATAATATTCTTTTTACAAAAGTTGTTCCAAGCTTTCAATACATCTTTCCAGTATGGTTTTTTAACAAAAGATTGCTTTTGAACATTAGCACCCAAAGATAGTATATCTTTAATTGGGATATTACAAGGGTTACTATATGTTTGTTTTTTACAATATAATTTGAGTGAAGAGAGTTTTAGGGCGTCAATAAATGCTCTAATGTTAATCATGCGTAATCTAACTTCCTCATATTTTCTTGTCAAAGTGCTCCTTTTGATTTTGTCTTTTTTATTATTCCAGATATAATTGTAAAATATTTTGTCAAGTGACAAGAAAAGTCCTCAGGAGAGTTAGGTAGTGTCGAAAATATATGAACTAGTTTTGACAATGCTAAAGTTTTTATGACTGTAATTTGTCCTATTATCGTTAGATTTCTTTTTCTCCAATTTGCAAGCAATCTATTTATTTCTTCTAGCTTTCTTTTTGTATTGATTACCCAGAGTTGACTTAAGTTTGGATTAAACATAATTCCTAATACTTCAAATTCCTTATTGTGCCATTCTATTTGTACTTCGGACATAAACGATCATTGCTACCCGCTTTTGAGCCTATCCATATTGCTTTTGTCTTGTCTACATTAATTTTTAAGCCAGACATTTTGTAGAATTTATTTAGTGTTTCTATAGCTGCATATAAGCTTTCATCTTTGCCATTTAGAAATAATTCAGTATCATCAGCATATTGCCCAAGTTTGAATTCTTTGTCATTGACTGTAATCCCTTCAATTTTATTATTATTTCTAATCATACTAATGTGGGAGGAAAGTTCCATGTGATGCAGCACTTAGGAAGAGGAGACGATGTGATTACTGACCTAGCATCCATATACCGCTTCGATTGAGTTCTTTCAACGGACAATGAAATATGTGTGCACATGGATTTTGAAATCGGCGTCCTACAATGACACACACTTGGAGCCCGACATTTGCACGAGTTGATGCATAATGACACATGTTATATTTATTATTATCATGATTATCATTTTGATCATATCTATAATTAATATTACTTACCGATGGCATATAAAACGCGCTTGCATGGTTCCAACCAGAGGCAGCCACCATTCCAGAAGGAGCCGTTGTCGAGTTGTCGTAGTTGAGCTCGCATTGTCCCGCCTTGAAGTTCAAGCTGGCGCACCGAGACTGCTGCAGACATGACGTCACACAGTCCTGTGGGGTGAGGGTCAGAAGCACGAGGTAGACTGACCCCACGAGTCTACTACTAGCCATGAGCCCGGGGGTGTTAACCCCTCGACTGCATGTCCCCGTGACTTGACCACACCCTGTCATCAGCTCCACAAGCAACATTGTTGTCAGAAAGGTTTTCATTTTGTAGGTTTTTAAGATTTTTTCCTTATACCATCAATCAAGGTCGTCGATGTCCACTCTTGCAGCTGTGACTGTCTTGGACAGGTTACTTCCTTACCTTCTTAAATAGTGGCTCTTGACTGTTTCACACGTCTGTTTTAAAAGCTGTGTTTATTACAGTTTTCTTAAAACCAGTTCTTGTTGTCATCCATACACTAGTAGTTATTACAACGTCACTATGTTGTGAGAGAAATTAGTTTGACGACATATCTTGGAAGTAAAACATCACTCCAAGCATTCTGCGTCCGTGATGCCTTCACGGCTCTGTATGGTTGAAACAGAGGGCGCTGAGTTGGTCTGTCTCCTACCAGGCGCAGAGTACCCGTCATTGATCGTCATCTTGTGATCCACACCACATACATGTATAAAATATTAATACATGTCTATACTAACACAACAACGAAATAAGGGAACTAATGTTTCGAATGTAGCTGTCGTTGAGGGGTACGTTTACAATACCGTAACGTCTAATCACAATAAAAAGGTCACTTCATGCATGAACAGCACGTGATGCAGGTACACACAGAATCGAAAGTGTGTGAGTTCATCATCATCATCATCATCATTTATTGTATTCTGGCCATAGGCCCATATACATACAGTAACATTATATATATACAATTTTGTACATGTAGAAGTATAAACATGCAGACTTATATGCACAGAGATGTGCACGTGTACAATTTTGTGAAAAATAAGTCGCAACACAACACAACAAGAAGAGATAAAAGCATTTGATTAATGAAGGCAAATAACCTAAAGAATAATTAAACATCATTTGTACATCAAGACGGTTGCGAAGTCGTAAACCATAACTAATGTATAGGATAGTATTCTTTTGTTGCTCGTTAGATATTTCATCAAAACGGAGGAGCTTGATTAGTGTATTGATGTTTTGGGGTAAACGAGTTAAAACGAGTTAAAAAAATAACGTCGCATTGGCATCATTTCAGCCATATAGCGACGAGAACAAGTTGATTATGTACAAGTGAGTTATGAATACAAAGTTCTATTTAAAAACAAATTTGTCAAACATATTTTGGCACGACATCAATGGACAGACAAAACGTTCTTAGTGTGTGTAACGTAGATACACGTATAAACAAAACATATGTATTATGATCAGAGTTCATTTGATCCCATTATCATTGGCAAGTGTGAATCAGACATCGTGTTTCGTTTGTTGTTTTACACCGCGCTCAGCAATATTCCAGCTATATGACGGCGGTCTGTAAATAATCGAGTCTGGACCAGACAATCCCGTGATTGACATCATGAGCATCGATCCACGCAATTGAGATACGATGACATGCATCAACCATGCCAGCGAGCCTGACCACCCGATCCCTCTAGTCACCTCTTACGACAAACATAGTCGCCTTGAGTTCGGCGTTAAACAACAAACAAACAAACAAACAATCCTTCAGGGAATGTGGCAAAAAAAACAATGTGGTCCCCAAATATAATTGCAAACCGAACTTGCCAAACAGAAGGATATGGTTTTAGGTCTATTTGAATTAATGTTGGTTAACTCAATTCACACAAATGTTGTCTCTGAGGCCGAAATAGTCAACTTTGTATCCGATGTGTAAGTGCCTACATCAACGTAACATAGCGACAATGTCAAGAAGTCGATGGAATCAAACGGCACATCATTGATTATTTCATGCTGTAGTGTAATAGGATATGGAGAGCAAAGCACTAAATAATACGCAATTATTATTTCATGATATCTTCCCGGGTTTTGTTCATGCTCTTTGAAAAATAACTATTGTGACATTTACGATTGAAACGTTGTAACAGACACCAACGAACATTGAGACTATCGTGTCACAGCTAAACACGCCTTTTACGTCTTATACATGTATGTAAAATATTATTTTTGCCCACTGCGCACATCTACGCTCAAGTTGACGATATAATGTATTCATCTGGAATATATTCGTAAATGCAAACCACAATGGCGCACTGTCAACGAGAAATGTTCTCCTTGTTTACAAAAGAAGAGTAAGTGAGTATGGTTTTACGCCGCTTTTAGCAATATTCCAGCAATATCACGGCGGGGGACACCAGAAATGGGCTCCACACATTGTACCCATGTCGGGTATCGAACCCGAGTCTTCGGGTGACAAGCGAACGCTTTAACAACTAGTTTTTCAGTAAGAAAAAAATAAATATTTCTCAAGTGTATGGGTAGAGGGTAGAGTCGTTAATGCATTGGCCCTCATGTAATCCACGACTGCATGCGAACGATGAGGCCTGGCATTGTTATCCATGTACTGAGGTCGAGTAGCAAGAGGGTGGTTGTCAAAATGAGGAACGACGACTGGCCTCAAAACGTCCCAGATGTACTGAGCCCCTGTTAAGTTGCCCCTTATAGTGACCAATCCAACCTGCAATCATGAGAGATACACCCCCAAACCATTACAGAGCCCCCGTATGCAACAGTCGGTTTAATGTTCGTTCCTAGGGTGTAGGCCATGTTCCGGTGCCTTCAAACTCTCGCTCGTCCATCAGTGACGTGGAGCAGAAAGCGACTTTCGTGTGACCAATGGATCCGTCTCCAAGTTCTTAGATTACAGTTCTGTCGCGCAATACACCATGCTAAACGAGCAGCTTTGTGGTGATCTCTCATCAAGGGACGCTCAATGACTCGTCTAGCCCTCAGTCCTGCTGCTTTCAGACGGTTCCTGGCGGTTCTGGTGCAGAAACGACAATTGGACAACCACAGGTGTTTCAGACGAGTACTTGTTAAAAAGGGTTCTCGAGACGAAGAAGGTCCCTGTCTTCGCGATGTGTCGTCACAGGAGGTCTTCCGGATCTGGGACGGTCCTGTAGATCACCGGTCTGAGCATGTTTACACGGCTTACGATAGTGTGAGGATACCCCAAATTCCGACCAGTGACAACACAAGACGTTCCTGCGTTAAGCATGCCGACTATTTGCCATCTTGTGGCGTTTGATAATCGCCTTCGTGCCATGGTCACACAATGTCATGGAATAGCTGTTTAAAACCGAGCTTAAGAAAGGTTTGGATATACTGCTTTGAGAGATACTCGAGGGTAGCATGCTAATGAAATATATCAGGGTGTGCTTAACTTTTTTCTTTGTGTATATAATGAAACATGGTTTGCTTCCAGATACTTGAAACCGTACGGACATGTAATAGAAAGGACCCTGTACAGAAGAAAGGGACCATCATGTCAAGCATGTGCAGCGAACAATGTATTACTTAGAGTTTTTTAAAGAACCTAATGAATGTTGAAAAGTTTTTATTTATCGTGGTCACAACGCAGCCTTCGGCATGTCTAAGGATTGTGCCAGTTGGTTGGTTGGTTGGTTTGTTGTTTAACACCGCACTCAGCAATATTCCATCTATATGACGGCGGTCTGTAAATATTCGAGTCTGGACCAGCCAATCCAGTGATTAATATCATGAGCATCGATCCACAAAATTGGGATACGATGACATGCATCAACCATGCCAGCGAGCCTGACCACCCGATCCCTCTAGTCACCTCTTACGACAAACATAGTCGCCTTGAGTTCGGCGTTAAACAACAAACAAACAAACAAACAATCCTTCAGGGAATGTGGCAAAAAAAACAATGTGGTCCCCAAATATAATTGCAAACCGAACTTGCCAAACAGAAGGATATGGTTTTAGGTCTATTTGAATTGATGTTGGTTAACTCAATTCACACAAATGTTGTCTCTGAGGCCGAAATAGTCAACTTTGTATCCGATGTGTAAGTGCCTACATCAACGTAACATAGCGACAATGTCAAGAAGTCGATGGAATCAAACGGCACATCATTGATTATTTCATGCTGTAGTGTAATAGGATATGGAGAGCAAAGCACTAAATAATACGCAATTATTATTTCATGATATCTTCCCGGGTTTTGTTCATGCTCTTTGAAAAATAACTATTGTGACATTTACGATTGAAACGTTGTAACAGACACCAACGAACATTGAGACTATCGTGTCACAGCTAAACACGCCTTTTACGTCTTATACATGTATGTAAAATATTATTTTTGCCCACTGCGCACATCTACGCTCAAGTTGACGATATAATGTATTCATCTGGAATATATTCGTAAATGCAAACCACAATGGCGCACTGTCAACGAGAAATGTTCTCCTTGTTTACAAAAGAAGAGTAAGTGAGTATGGTTTTACGCCGCTTTTAGCAATATTCCAGCAATATCACGGCGGGGGACACCAGAAATGGGCTCCACACATTGTACCCATGTCGGGTATCGAACCCGAGTCTTCGGGTGACAAGCGAACGCTTTAACAACTAGTTTTTCAGTAAGAAAAAAATAAATATTTCTCAAGTGTATGTAGGAACTGACGAAGGGCGTGAATATCCGGTGTCACTAAATGTTTATATCACCTGTTTGTTACCATATGGATTTAGAGTATATTTGTTACAGATATGGAAAATATGGAATCTCTTAGAACTGTTTCTGCTTGTGCAGTGGCTGTTTCATTTCATCACTGGGAATCAGTGGTAAGGGTGTGGAACCATGACATTCATATATTGAAACGGAGATTTAAATACACCCTCGCCAACCCTCCTTTCAGACTAGGAAACTCTGAGACAGCAGTGAGTTAGAACAGAAGGTACGGGGATTACACCGTCCCTCCCAAGCATGTTGGGAATGGGGAAAGCTAGACACAAAGAAAAAAGTTAAGCACACGCCTATTTCTGAACCATGACAAATGTAAAAAATCATGGCATGGGATGACTTACTACAGGAGCTGGGCGATACCAATGCCATCGGATAGACTGACTGAGTATGGTTTAACGCCGCTTTTAGCAATATTCCAGCAATATCACGGCGGGGGACACCAGAAATGGGCTTCACACATTGTACCCATGTCGGGAATCGAACCCGGGTCTTCTGCGTGACGAGCGAGAACGCTTTAACCACTAGGCTACCCGACCGCCCCCAAAAGGGTAGAACAAACATTTGAAAATAAATAAAGAAGATATTGGTGAGTTGTCATGTTAACACAGGTACTGTTTTTGACCTTAGACAATACCTAAAAAGGATGGGGCTGCAGGATTAAGTAAACGAGTTACGTTTCATGTTTCATGTGAAAATGTTCCTTAAAGTCTCTCACGTGGATCAGTAGCGGGTATAACCGCCACGTGCCTGGGTGACGCATTCCACCCTACGTCTCATGCCTCCAGTCAGACGTTGGATAAGTTGACCACTCCTGATGCAATGCTGCTTCCAATTGGCGTAAATCTTGTACAGGAGGATCTCGTGCCTGTATGCGCCGCCCCAGAATATCTCAAACATG